TAAATGTTTTTCCTTTATAAGAATTGTCATGGTCCAGGTGGATCTCTGTGAGTTTGAGACCAGCCTGGTCTACAGAGTGAGTTCCAGGACAGCCAGAGCTACACAGAGAAACCCTGTCTTGAAAAACAAACAAATAAAAAAAAAAGACAACAAAAAATTGCCATGGTCATGGTGTCTCTTCACAGCAATAGAAACCATTACTAAGGCAGGTGCAATGAGAAGTAAAATGACTTATGAAATGGCCTGAAAGTAAAGAATGACAGGAAGAGACTGAGTTCCTACAAATTACTTTGAGGACATGCCCTATTGATCTGTAGACCTCATCCTAGGTCAGTGATTTTCAGCCTTCCTTATGCTGCTACCCTTTAATGCAATTCCTCATATTGTGGTAACTCCCAACCATAAGATTATTTTTATTGCCACATCATAACTAATTTTGCTGCTGTTTTGAATCTTTTATCTTTTTTATTTTAAAACAATCTTTTCTCATTTTACATACCAATCCCAGTTCCCACTCCCTCCCTTCCTCCTGTTCTCTCTACCCCCCCATCCCCATCCACTCCTCAGAGAGGGTGAGGTTTCCCATGGGGAGTCAACAAAGTCTGGCACATCACTTTGAGACACAACCAAGGCCCTGCTATATCTAGGCTGAGCAAGGTATCCCTCCAAAGAGAATGGGCTCCAAAAAGCCAGTTCAAGTACTAGGGATAAATCCTGGTCCCACTGCCAGGGGACCCACAGACTGTCCAAGCCACACATCTGTCACCCACATTCACAGGGCCTAGTTTGGTCCATTCAGGTTCTCCCACTTTCAGTCCAGAGTTAGTGAGCTCAGGTCAGCTGTGTCTGTGGGTATCCCCCAAGTGGTCTTGACCCTTTGTTATGAATCTTAATGTAAATATCTGTGTTTTCTGATGGTTTTAGGCAACCCTGGTGAAAGTGTCATTTGACCCCCAAAGGGGTCTCGACCCACAGATTAAGAACCATTGCTCTAGGCCCTACCTCTTAAAGTTTCCATCACCTGCTAATTGCACCAAGCCATGCAGCAAGACTTTTTAGCACATACTAAATACTTTGAGAGTATTCCAGATATGAACTTTAACACAGCAACACTGAAAGCATTCATAGGCCAGGACCACTGTCCTCTTTGCATCATTGTCCACCTTTGCAACATTCATGTGCTCTGCTCAGGGAAGGATCACTGATTCTAATGACTGTAAGACAAAGTGCTTCCATGCAAAGTAATGTGGGCCTGGAGCTGGGACACTCAGTGTCCAGACCTGGCTCGGTTCCCTGAAGCCTCCTTGCTTCCTGAAAGTCACTCAGATTTCTGCAGCAGAACAAGCAGGTAGTAATGGGTCTATTTTACATTAAAAAACAAAAAAACAAACAAACAACAACAACAAAAAAAACTGGTAGGAGGATGAAATAGTCCTGCTAGTGAATGTGGAAGTGCTTAATGAACTATAAAGTCTCACCAGGTCATTTCCCTCTGACAGGCATGTGATATTAAACTTTTTCCCTAAGATCTTGAAAATGGGCTCTTGTGCTTTTCCTCAGCTCTTATTCTTGAGTGTGCTTTCCCTTTCTTAATAAATTCTCTATTTCTGTTTTTAACCAGGTGTCCCCGGTGGAATCCTTTGCTTTGAGGCACAAAGGGTCTGGAATCCGTTGTCCCTGAACTCATATTTGTAACTCAGCACTGTTAAGTATGCCTCTCTGACATTGTGGGCTTTTGCACTGTTCTTCTGACCTCCATGCCTAACTTAAAAGGCATGCATTTCCCCATATCTCTTCCTCCTGGCAGTTGCCATGATTTTCAGTTTGCCTGACCTATTATTTGTCTCTCAAACGTTAGTAAAATTGTCCTTGATCTTCAAAAATATCTTGAAAATGGAAAAGAAAGCTATCTCCTATTCATAATCTATTCCATCCCACTGTGAGCTAGATATTGACCATACTTCTTTTGTTGGCTTTTCCATTTTAGGAATCTATCACAGAGAGCTCGGAGAATGGAGTTATTAACAGTTTACTAAGCCCCACTGTTCCATTTCTGTGAGCACAGCCTATTCAGACAGCCTTTCTGACCTGAGGGCATTTGAGGCTACATACAAGTTAATCTGGAAACCAAATTTCTCTTGTTTGGGATTACTTCATTTTTCTCAGCCATGCAATCCCCAAATCCCAAGTATATGAGTACTCAAATTCTGCTTTAGTCGGTTCCAAGTCATTTCTTGACACAAGCATGAATAGTTGCTATTGTTTGTTGTATTATTAAGCAGTAATCTAGTGATCTTATATACTGTTTGACCTTTCTTACAAATCATTAGAATGACAGTTCCCAAAAATAAAGAAAGCAAATTTTTAATACACAATTGCCTGGATGGGAGCCTTTTAAGGCTGTTGAAGTGGCTCTGGGTGACAGCCACCCAGGCCCCTCCTCTTTTCCTAATCTGCCTTCCCTCAAATATTGCCCATATCCACCTCTATAGCTCACCACTAACCTCAAACAGTAATGAAGAGGGGGTATCAAGCCATTCTCTGTAAGAGGATACCTCTATGCATATAAGATGATTTACTGTGTATAACTGGCTTTTAGTTGCACAACAAAACTTATCTGTCAAGGAAAGGAATTGGGGAATTTGGTTTATCCTGGATAGGAAATATTTCTTTTCTATTCAGAAGACAGGAGATACAATATCATATCTAAATAGGTAACATCATGTAACATTCACACTTTATGACTCAAACATTTATTTTGCTGTTCATGCCTTCTACCTCTCCTTTCTAGTTGTTTTCAAGTTTAGTTTTGTGTTCGTGTAACTAATGGCTTCTCTCTCCAAATGCTATGAGGGCAAGGAGTGTATATGTCTTCTGCCTTCAAGCCTAACACAGCCTGGTGCAGAGTAGATGCTTGATAAGCTGTAGAGTAAATGAATGTATATAATTAGGGAGTCCCTCATTATCTCCAGGACCACTTTGTGTCTTCACCAAAACACAGTTTTAGCAGTACACTGATGCTGTCTTCTATGTTCGCAAAGCATGTTCAGCTGTCTTCTCATTGGTAAATAGCCTTAGCGTATGGCACTACTGTGTTTCAGGTCTCTATCCTGCTGGATGGTGAGCTTCTGGGGAGAGTGGCCCTGCTCATTACTGCCTCCCTAGGGATCAATACATGGCTGGCTTATAAGCTGCTGTAGTTTGGATGTTGCCTCTAAAGCTCATTTTATACTTACTTGCTGCTGTGAGGATATTGGGAGGTAGAATCTTTAATAGGTGATTAGGTCATGAGGGTGCCACCATCATGTATAGGTCAAGGCCATTATTGAGTAAGTAAGTTAGTTATTTCCATTAATTCTAGCCAGTTTTCTCTCTTTGTCTCATTTGTGTTTGCTTTTTTGCCATGTTAAAATCTCCAAACTATGTGGGCCCTTTGATTTTAGAATTCCTACTTCCAGAACTATGAGAAATAAGTTTCTCCTCCTTCTTATATGTTCATGGGTCTGTGATATTCTGTTTTGGCAGCAGAAGGGTTAGGAAAGAACCCACCAACTGAACTCATTTGTTTGAAAACCAATCCTGCTATAGAGAACAAACTAAGGGTTTTGCTTTCCCATTTGCCTTCTTGCCCATGCATCTTCTCTTCCAAAACATTCTTTTTATGACATGATCCACCCTTTTCTTTCCACTTTTTAATGCTCAGTGGGAGAGGAAACCTTATGCCATATCAAGGTTTTTGATACACACAAGGAAGCCTGCTCCACCAGTGCAACCCATTGGCCCCAGCCTCTGTCTGAACTCCCTCTAAAGCTCTGAGTTCATCTTACCAAGTAATCTGACATTGGCATTGAAAGAGCCGTCTATTTTTCCATTCTTCTAATCCTTTCACACATTGATTGAGCATCCCGTGCTAGGTAATGCTAAATGCCGATCACATATAGTTCCTTGGAGATTGTAATCTGGTGAGATAGCAGATAATGGATATGTAACATCTGAATTTTCCCTGTCTTCTATTTTTATACAGAGCTGTTTAGCTTTTCATAGTTTAGGAAATTCCAATTTTTTTGTTCCCTTTCCTGCCCTTCTTAGCACCTTTGCCTATATTTCCTCTTTGCTGCTAAGTGTGATCTGCACCTGTGGAGGTCATTTCTGATGCCCTACCTCCAGGCCTCTGTGCTAACTTGCTTTCCATGCCCTTTTCCAACTGTGAGCATTTCTTCCTTCATTAACGATGGTTTTTATGTCATAGCTTTGCTTGGGTGATTTAAGAGATTTAGTATGCCCTCAAAAAAATTGTACCCAAGCACTGGAGAGATGGCTGCGAGATTAAGAGCACTTGGTGCTTGTGATGGCTAATCTTGGTTGCTGACTTGACTACATTTAAAAGTAGCTGAAACTCAAGCAGCTGGGCACACCTGAGAGATATTTCTCTTAGTTGGATTATTTGAGGTGGGAGACCAATCCTAACTGTATCATTTAAAGTCAGAAGATGCACCCTAAATCTGGTCCACACACCTTCTGATGGCAGCTCACATAAAAGCACAAGGAAGAAGGAAGATTTTGTTTTCTGTCTGTCTGTCTGCCCTCACTCTCAATGGCAAGTTCATCTATCCTGAGCCCTTCCTTCACTGGAGTTAGAACCTGCTTCTTCCAGATTTCAATGTGTCCTGAAAACTGGCAGATCTCTAGGTCATCCCTGGGACGACAGCGCCAGATTGGGACTGCTGAGACATCTAGTCTGGTGGACAGCAACTACCAGATCCTTGGCCTTTCTGTCAGGAGACAGCTATTTTTTGGACTACTCAGACCATAGCATGTAAGCCACTCTAATAAATCCCTTATATATATTTGTATATATAAATCGTAAGCCACTCTAATAAATCATATACATATATTCATATATTTGTTGAATTAGTTCTGTTCCTTAGAGAGCCCTGACTAATACACTGCTCTTGAAGAGGACCTGGGTTCGGTTTTGTCTAAGTTACTTTTCTTTCCCCCAGAAGCAAGCAGAATCTCAGTCCCCCACAACCATAAATTATGCAGCCGAGTTTCCTACATTTGGGAAAATTGGGGGGGGGGGTAGCACAGCCAGAGTGCAATGGATAAGCCTCGCCCTGGGAAAACCACCTTCGAGATCATTGTATATCCCCTGCCAGCTAAGTATTCTGTTACTTTTCTATTGCCATAACAAAGCACCATTACCAAGGAAAATTATAGAAGAAAGAGTTTATAGGAGCTTGCAGCTTCAGAAGAGTCCATGATCATCAGGACAGGAAGCATGGCAGTGGGCAGGCAGACAGGCATAGTAGTGGAGCAGTAGCTAAGAGCTCACATGTCATCTACAAGCATGATAGGATGGGGTGGATGACTGGGAATGGCATGGACTTTTGAAATCTCAAGGCCCACTCCGAGGAACACATTTCTTCCAACAAGGCCACACCTCCTAATCCTTACCAAATAATTCCACCAGCTGGGAACCAAGCATTCAAATATATGAGCCTGAGCCAGGCTTTGGTGGCACACACCTTAATCCCAGCACTTGGGAGGCAGAGGCAGGTGGATCTCTGTGAGTTCAAGGACAGCCTGGGACAGACTCCAAAGCAATACAGAGAAACCATGACTATATATATGGGGGTTTTTCATCTAAACTTTGGGGTCCATTTTCATCCAAACCACCACATTCCACTCCCTGGCCCCCATAGGTTTGTAGCCATTTCATAATGCAAAATGCATTAAGTCCAACTCCAAAAGTTCCCATTGTCTTTCACAGTCTCAACACAGTTTAAAAGTCCAAAGTCTCTTCTGAAACACAACACAATCTCTTAATTGTAACCCTTCTAAAATAAAAATGCAAATTACGTACTTCAAACATACAAAGGCACAGATTATATATTACTGTTCTAAAAGGGAGGAATCTGGGCATAGCAAGGAAATACTTCACCAAAGCAAACTCCACATCAGATATGGCTCCACATCTGGTGTCAAAGGGCTTAGGCAGCACTTCCCTTCCAGCTTTGCGTACTGAAAAACACTGCTTTCTCAGGCTGCTGGTTCCACTCCATGCCTGCAACTCTTCTTGGCAGATATCCCATGGATCTGCCAACTCCAACATCTTCTGCATCTCCAACGCAATCCAGGCTTCACCTTCACAGCTTCACACAATGGCATCTTAGGGCTTCCATGCGAGGACTCCTCTCCCACACATCTTACCTCAGTGGCTCTTGTTAATCATAGATGAAGATTCCACAACTCATGAAGAATACCTCTTGTATGACTCTAAACCCAGAACCATGCTACTAATTTCCTCTGCCTGCTTGGGATGGAACCTGGTACCCTCCTTAAATTAAATTTGCATAAGCTTTTGATGGCGGAATGTACTTTTTTGTATGTTTATCTTATTGATTATTGAATAAAATACTGTTTGACCAATAAGACAGCAAGTTAGACAGGACTAGGAGTCAAAGAGGATTCTGGGAAATGTAGTAGAGAAGTGGTGATCCAGGCAGGAAGTGACATAGCAAGGAGACTCATTTAAGCAAAGGAAACAGGAAGTGTCCCCCCCCTTTTCCTCCAGCGGTGCCATGTGAGCCACCGGAAAGAGAGGGTGCCAGCGAAAGGCATCCTCTATAAGTCTTATAACATATATAGATTAGTGATAATTAAGACTTAGCTAGCAGATGAGAAGTCCTAGTTATTGGCCAAGCAGCATTTGTACCTAATACAAGTCTCTCTGTGCATTAATTGGGGCCCTAACTCAGGCAGGTAGCTGGCGTAGAGTGCACATGTGGCGGTGGGGCTCGGTTGCTTTTGGCGCAAAGACTTATCGTAACAAGCTTTAATTTGTTACTGCTCTTTAGGAATGGACAGTTTCTTAGGCCACACACACACACACACACACACACACACACACACACACACAGTCGGATTATCTAGGTGAGGTGCTGCTCTAAGGGCATCACTCTCTTTATTTCTCTTTATCTCTTACAGCACAAACCAAGATTCCAACATTAAATTATGTGGTGTTCTTTTTCTCCTCAATCTGTATAATTCATATTTCTTTTTGCACCACTTGCCCATTTTCATGATAGACCTGCACAAGACCTATCACTAATAACCATACAACAGAGTCAATATTAGGCTGTCTTAAAATTTCCACTGCTATTGAAATTAGTCTAAAACTCTCCGGATTCTTAGGACAAGGGCAAAGGCCCCCAAATCCTTTGCCAAAATATCACAAGAATGGTCTCTAGCTCAGTTACTAACACTGTTCTCCTCTGAAACCTCTTTTCATAGTGCACATTACTCTCAGCACAACTGTCTTCCAAACTACTAGTAGGATTTCCCATTAACACCCACTTACAGCATTCAACTGCTTTCATAGTCCAAAGTCCTAAAGTCTTCTTCATTCATTCTAAAACAAACAAACAAACAAAAACCCAGACCCCAAACAGTACATAGCCAGGCATATCACAGCAATAACCCATACCATGGTACCAACTTCTGCCTTAGTTACTTTTTTACTTCTTCAACAAAGCACCATGACCAAAGGCATCTTAGAAAAGAAAGAGTTTTTGGCGGATTTCAATTACAGAGGATTCGAGTCCATGACCATACTGACGGGGAGCATGGCAGCAGACAGGCAGGTGTTGGAGCAGTTGTACCAAAAAAATAAATGGTGCAACTGGTAAATTTTCTTCTCATTCAAAAGCAGATATAATTGACCATGTATCCCAAATCTCACACTCCCAGCTCTTCATCCCACAGGCATTAATTTCAAGTTTCTGAAGTAGTCTAGAAATATACTGTTACGGGGAATTCACTGGAGGTGACCACTTAGACACAATTTATAACCAATTGAAAGTCTTTATACCAGTTAGCTGGGTCTATACACAAGTGTTCAGGGACCTAGGTGTGTCCTTGAGTGTCAAGAACACAGGATTTTTAAAGGCAGAAACCATGTCCCGGAATCCCACTTGGCAGCTGCAGAGGGGCTTGGCAGAGGCAAGTAGTTTAATAGAAGCTAAATAAGTGGTTAGCTGGAGGGTGTTCTGTACAAATAGTCAATTTAATAGAAGCTAAGATAAGTTAGCTAGGACATGCTCACCTTGGGTTCCTAGAAGAGAGTTGGGTAATCTTCCGTGGGATTCTCCGTCAAGGAGATCAAATTCTAGTTAAACCTGACATGGCCTTAGTAAAAAGAAAAGCTAGAATGTCTGCAGTGTTCTGCCCTGTCACATCCTACCAACTTAATACATAGAGGTCACCAAGATACTTTCTGTATGGAACTGAGAATGGGGTCAGGAAGATCAGTCAAAAAATATTTGGCGAGTCTAACATGTTATGAGAAAGGCATGATCAGGAAAGAGATGTGTTGAAGGAGAGGTAAAAGGCCAAGTATTAGAGAAGAGGTTGGAGAGTGAAAGGTAACTGCAGGGTTACTGAGTGACTTTCGAAAGGGTTCCTGCAAGAATGAAAATACCCGTGATGGAATAAGGCTACTGAGCAGGGGTGGGAAAAGAGCTTCCTCCAGCCCCTACTCTATGAGCTTAACGTTGTTTAAGATGATCAAGCCATTTAAAGCAGTTTTTCTCTACACAGTGGTCAGGGACTGTGAGGAGAAAGGGCTTGGAAAAGACTGTGAGAGTCTTGTGGGAGTCAGATGTGGACTAGGCAAGTCTTATTCTATTCATCAGCTACTTGAAAGGACTGTGTCACATTTTCCCTCTAGCCATGGAAAGGTTGAGAAATATAGTTTAACTCTAGTCCAGGAAGAAATGATCGAGGGAACAACGGGCCAAAAGAGGAAACTTTGTGTGCAGACCAGCTATAGTGGACAGTGGATGCATGATCCAGAAAATATGTTTCAGGTTAGAGCATTCAGGAAATTCTGAGCTGCATGTCCCCTTTTGGAGAATCAGAATGTGACACTAATGATTCTGGCAAAGCCTGCAGCTGAGAGACAAAGCATTTCCTACCCGTTTCTGACTCTGAGAAGGTGGGTTTGGGTGTGATACAGATCATGATTCTGTGGGTCACACCTGGCAAACAGCTAGCAGGCCTGAGAGTGCCTCAGGCTCAGGCAAAAATATGTTAGGACAGGAGCTTAAGATTATTTTTTTTTAGAAAAAGAAAAGAAAAGAAAGTTGGTGGTGGGAGAGATTCCCAGCATTGGAAGGGAAAGGAAATGAGAATCCAAGATTGAAGAAGTCGGGAAGGACAGCAACCAGCTCATAAGACAGATTCTTTACTGGGAGGTGCAGAGGAATGGACCCCCAAACTGTAAGGAAGTATAAGAGTGAAGAAATATGGGGGTTTGTGGTGACCCCCTTGGCTCACTGGGCAGGGCTACTGAAAAGACCATGTCTGGAACAATGTTGTGTAGGATCTCTCCAAGTACTCAATGTCTAAACTCCTTTGAAAAATAGAAAATGACTGGAATTCTCCCAAATAGGTTTCACAAATTAGCATACAATTAGATTTGTAAATTAGTAAATCCCCAGCTCCCAAAGCTGATCAAAACCGTGGTAACAGGAAAGACAGGCCTGTCTTGCTCACTGATTGAACTGCAGTGGCATCCCACTCACTCACTCCGTGCTCCCCCCATACACACACTCTGATTAAGCCTCCCAGCAGGTGGCAGTGCCTATGATTAGAGGGTTCTGTGAGGCTTGCAGTTTGCGTAATGCCTTTTGCTCATTCTCTTCTTAATTCTCATGCCAGCCGAGAGGCTGCTGTGTCTCAGGACCATTCAGCATTCTGGGAGCTGGTCACAGAAACCCTATCCTCCAATCTCTTATCTCTGTACTGCCTCCTTCATAAGCCTCTACTTATTATTTTTTCTGTCCATCCGTACACATGATTGTTTTGTTACAATAGAGTTGAAAGAATGTAGGAAGGAAGGAACAAAAGAAAGGAACTTTGAGACACTGTTGTAGGGATTCTCTTTCCCTATTTAAGGGTTGAATTGGCGTTTTAAATCATCTGTGCCCTAGAATGTGGTCTTATTTGAGATAGAGTGCACAGGGGCAATCAAGCGATCGTTGAGTCTTCTGAGTGGGTTCTGCTTATATGGCTCATGAATGTCTGTATAGAAAGGGAAGTCAGAGAAAGGCTGCCACATGAACATGAGATGGCCCTCTACAAACAAACCAAGGAGAAGCTTGG